ACAAAAAAACCCCAAAACCAGTAGAAGAAAAGAAATAATAAAAACCAAAGCAGAAATAAATGAAATAGAAACTAAAAAAACAATCCAAAAGATCAATGAAACCAAGAGCTGGTTCTTTGAAAAAATCAATAAAATAGACAAACCCCTAGCCAGGCTCACAAAGGATAAAAGGGAGAAAGCACAAATAAACAGGATCATAAATGAAAGAGGAGAAATCACAACGGACACAGAAGAAATCAAAAGAATAATCAGTAACTACTATGAACAGTTATATGGAAACAAGTTCAACAATCTAGAGGACATGGACAAATTCCTACAACTCTACAATCACCCAAAGCTAGATAAAGAAGAAATAGAACACCTGAACAGACCAATTACAATTAGCGAAATTGAAATGGTAATCAAAAACCTCCCCAAAAACAAAAGCCCAGGACCTGATGGATTTACAAATGAATTCTACCAAACATTCAGAGACGAATTAGTGCCTATCCTTCACAAACTCTTCCAAAAAATTGAGAAGGAAGGGACAATACCAAACACGTTCTATGAAGCCAACATTACACTAATACCAAAACCGAACAAGGACAACACAAAAAACGAAAACTACAGGCCAATCTCCCTAATGAACACTGATGCAAAAATCCTCAATAAAATTTTAGCTATCAGAATCCAACAATGTATCCATAAGATAATTCACCACGACCAAGTTGGATTCATTCCAGGGGCACAAGGATGGTTTAACATCCGAAAATCAATCAACGTTATCCAACACATCAACAAAAAGAAATATAAAAACCATATGATAATATCAATAGATGCTGAGAAAGCTTTTGACAAAGTGCAACACCCATTCATGATAAAAGCCCTTGAAATTCTTGGGATACAAGGAACATACCTCAACATCATAAAGGCCATCTATGACAAGCCAACAGCCAGTATCATTCTCAATGGTGAAAAGCTGAAAGCAATTCCATTAAGATCTGGAACAAGACAAGGATGTCCACTCTCACCATTGCCTTTCAATATAATACTGGAAGTCCTAGCCAGGGCAATAAGACAAGAGAAAGACATACAAGGAATCCAAATAGGAAAAGAAGAAGTCAAACTATCACTATTTGCAGACGATATGATATTATACATAGAGAACCCCAAAAACTCCACAGAAAAGCTAATTCAACTCATCAATCAGTTCAGTAAAGTGGCAGGATACAAAATCAACACGCAAAAGTCAGTAGCCTTCCTATACACAAACAATAAATCTGAAGAAGAAGAAATCAAAAAAACCATCCCTTTTGTTATTGAAACAAAAAAAATCAAATATTTGGGAATAAATCTAACAAAAGAGGTAAAGGACCTATACAAAGAAAACTATAAAACACTGTTAAAAGAAATAGAAGAAGACACAAAGAAATGGAGAGACATCCCCTGCTCATGGATTGGAAGAATAAACATTATTAAAATGGCCATCCTTCCAAAAGCAATATACAGATTCAATGCTATTACAATCAAAATTTCAATGTCATTCTTCAAAGAAATAGAACAATTATTGATGAAATTCATATGGAATCACAAAAAACCCCGAATAGCCAAAGCTCTCCTGAAAAAAAAAGAAGGGAATGGAGGCATCAGACTCCCAGACTTCAAACTATACTACAAAGCCATAATCATCAAAACTGCATGGTATTGGAACAAGAACAGACATACAGACCAATGGAATCGAATAGAAAATCCAGAAATAAACCCACAGATTTATGGTCAACTAATCTTTGACAAAGGAGCAAAGAATATGCATTGGAGCAAAGAAAGTTTGTTCAATAAATGGTGCTGGGAAAACTGGGTCGCTACATGCAAAAGAATGAAGCTTGACCACCACCTCACACCATACACAAAAATCAACTCAAAACGGATTAAAGATCTTGACATAAGACCTGAAACCATAAAATATATAGAAGGAAATATAGGCGAAACACTACGTGATTTGCACATCAAAGACATCTTTACAGACACATCACCCAAAGCAGTGATAGTGAAGGCAAAGATAAACAGCTGGGACTACATCAAATTAAAGAGCTTTTGCACAGCAAAAGAGACAATAACAAAAACAAAGAGAAACCCCACCAACTGGGAGAACATTTTTGCACCCAACGCTAATGATAAAGGACTGATCACAAAAATCTGCATAGAGCTGATGAGACTCAGCAACAACAAAGAAAATAATCCAGTCAAAAATGGGCAGAAGAGCTTAAAAGAAACTTCTCTGAAGAGGAAATGCAAATGGCCAACAGGCATATGAAAAAATGTTCAACATCACTTGTCATCAGGGAAATGCAAATCAAAACTACCATGAGATACCATCTTACACCAGTGAGAATGGCACATATTAAAAAAACTAGCAACAACAAATGTTGGCGAGGGTGTGGAGAAAAAGGAACTCTTCTGCACTGTTGGTGGGAGTGCAAACTGGTCCAACCACTGTGGAAAGCTGTGTGGAGATTTCTGGACCTACTAAACATAGAGCTTCCATATGATCCAGCAATTCCACTCCTAGGTATTTACCCAAAGGACACAGAAACATCAATTCCAAAGAGCACCTTCACCCCTATGTTTATAGCAGCACTGTTTACAATAGCTAAGCTTTGGAAACAACCCAAATGCCCAAAAATAGATGACTGGATCAAGAAGATGTGGTACATATATACCATGGAATATTACTCAGCATTCAAAAAAGATAAACACATGCAATTTGCAGCAACATGGATGGCGCTGGAAGGGATCATGCTCAGCGAAATAAGCCAGAAAGAAAAAGAAAAATACCGGATGGTCTCACTCATAGCAGGAATCTAGAAAACTTAAATAAGGGACCAGGAAAATGAATAACTATAAGAAAGTGAAAATCAAAATCAACAAAAAACTATGAACCAGAGACACTTTTAGGGGGGCGGGGGCGGGAGGGGAGGGACTGGGGCCAGAATGGGGGGGCTGCAATTGTATGGGGAATATAACAATAAAACTTATAAAAAAAAAATAAAATGAGAATAACAAAAAAAATAAATAAAAAAAAAAAAAAAAAAAAAAACAGAACGTGGGATGGGGGGACCAGGTGGCAGGAGGGACCTGGGAACACTGTTTACTGGGGAGAGTTCCAGGTTGGGAGGAGGAACCCGCTGTGCAGGTGGAGAGTGGAGATGGGGCTCCACAGTGTGATGCTGATGCCAGTAAAGACAATGCGTAAGATTGGGAGCAGGTACATTTGTGATTTGTTCTTTTTAACACTAGCCCCTATGCCCTTATCACACACACACCCCCACCCCCACACATACACAATGAAAAGTCTGTTCAGTGCCTCCCTGGTGGTGCAAGGTTAAGATGCAACCTATTAAGCCCTCCGCAGCCACTGCAGCATGAGTTCGATCCCTGGCCAGGGAGCTACCCAGATGCAAGAGGACAAAGGGCAGATGCTAGATAATTCATTGTGTAACTAGGGCCAAGGTACACCACTGGGGAAACCCAGGTTTTCTCTGAGATACAGTCTCCAAGTTTACCATTCTCCCCCGCCTACACGTTCTCTTTATTGGCATCATCTTCACACTGTGGTGCCGCCATCTCCTCTCCATCTGCACTAACAGTTCATTCTTCCATTCAGCTTCAAAAACACTCTTCACATGTGTCCGAGGAGGTGGAGGATGTCAGAAGCTTACTGCTGCCTAATCAACTGGGAGCTGTCATAGTTCTCTTTATTGTCATCATCTTCATATTGAGGTGCCCCCATCTCCACTCTCCACCTGCACAAATAGTTCATCCCTCCAACTGACACCCACCCACTAAACACCATCACCTTTGTTCCTTCTCTCACCTGGTCCCCACCAGGCACAGGGGTATGAAAATCACCATTCCCGAGGGAGTGTGTGAAGGGAAGGCTTTTGTTGAACCTCACTAAGCAAGGCCGGTAGGTGACACCCAGGTTCTCAGAGGGAAGGCCGGGGTTGTAGAACCTCATCATATTTACCAGCAAAAAGCATCCACCCAGCCAGAGTCCCATGTATCAACCGTTAGCTCACAACCAGTAGAAACCAAGCTAACCATCTAGGGGGACACCCTTAAATTTGGCAGATACAGAAATGCAGTTTCCATGGTTATACTATAAGCTCGTGCAGTGTGGCGGTGACTGAGATACTGTGGTCAAGGTCACTGACCAGGATGAACTGGAACGTTTGTGGAGGAAGAGAGAACAGCTCGAACTATTGCATTGGCGTGGTTTCCCTTCATGTCGGTCACAATGGAGGTTCTCCCCGCTACCCAAGACCCTAAAATGAGGGACGTGTGACTGTTCTTTGAGCGTGAACTTTAACACCCACACACAAGGGATTAGTGCAGAGGCTGGAAGACACCCCTGAGAGAAGAGGATGACTAATAGTCTGGAGCACTAACTGCCAACTGAGGGATGACCTCAATCTTCGCTCAAGGCTGGGTTCTCTTCCCAGGAGAGGGGCAGCCACGAAAAGTCTCAGACACCCCCAGTGCACATGAGCAGCAGCAGCTCTGTCCTCATCGTGAGCAGGAGGGACATGAACTCACCTGGAGCGACCCTGTTCTCACTGCTCGCAAAGAATGGTTTATGGAACATGGCAAGCAGTTTGGGGGGGCATATGCAAATGCTCTACGGTGGTGACTGTGTCAAAGTGATATGTTTGAGGTCTTCAAGTCATGAAGTTATTTAACATTCCTGTTCGTCTGTCTGAGGTATTTATAATGTGAAACCCAGTCTAGGATGTTCTATGCAAGAAAGATCAAATTCTGTCTCTATGGGCGAGGTGCTGGGCATCCTAACCAATCACTATTATAATGCTGGAAAGATACAGAGAAATTCATGCACACACTAGGGACATAAAAATAAAGCAATTTCTTTGGTTCTCATCCATTTCTCAAGGGCTAGTGACAATAAACCATTAAGTTTATACTCTCTGTGTATGTTGTAGGATGGGCAAGACTCAACTTCTTACCTCCTGTTCTCTTGTGTCTTCTCTTGACTCCAACTTCTTACTCTTAGATGGGGTGAACAGTTCTCTACTCCTTTTCCGAGCCGCCCTGCGTTTTTCCTGATCAAAATTGAGTGAAGAAGAAAGCGTAGTTAAGATGACAGATTCATCAGGTCCCTGAGAGGAATCCCTGCCTTCCAAGAGACTAGATTGTCATGAAATATTATTGAATCCTTACACTTTCAGTATAAGCGCCCAAGGACTGTGTGCAGTGATATAGTTAATTCCTTCGTCTCAGAGCACTTAGCAGGATGGCTGCCATAGTACCTGCTCTGTTATCGGAGGCTGGGGATTGGGTACTAACCTGCCCACGGCTGCGACCATTGGCTTCTTGAGCCTCATGTGCTAAGGCTCAGGTAGAGCTACATGGCCCTCGACAGCCTTGTCAGGAAACACTGCACACAGAACAGGACAGCTTTTTTTTTTTTCAGGGTTCCAATTGTTTAGCAATTTCCATGGCACACTATCAGCTCACACAGTGTGGCAGTGCTGAGATATCGTGGTCAAGGTCACTGACCAGGATGAATTGGAACGTTTGTGGAGGAGGACAGAACAGCTCGAACTACTGCATCGATGTGGTTTCCCTTCATGTCTGTCACAATGGAGGCTCTCCCCGCTACCCAACACCCTAACATGAGAGACGTGTGACTGTCCTTTGAGTGTGAACTTTAACACTCACACGCAAGGTATTCATGCAGAGGTTGGAAGGCACCCCTGAGAGAGGCAAGAGGACTAAATAGTCTGTAGTACTACCTGCCAACTAAAGGATGACCTTAGTCTTTACTAAATGTGGGTTCTCTTCCCAGGAGAGGGGCAGCCACTTGAACTCTCAGAGAACCCCAGTGCGCATGAGCAACAGCAGCTCTGTCCTCATCGTCAGCCTCATGAGCAGGAGGGACATGAACCCACATGGAGGACCCTGTTCTAACTGCTTACAAAGAATGGTTTGAGGAACATGGCAGGTAGTGTGGGGGGCAAATGCAAACCCTCAACGGTGGTGAACGTGTCAAAGTGATATGTCTGAGGTCTTCAAGTCATGAAGTTATTTAACATTCCAGATCTTTAATCTGAGGTACTTGCATTGTGAAACCCAGTCTAGGATGTTCTATGCAAGAAAGATCAAAATTCTGTCTCTATGGGCTGAGGTGCTGGGCATCCTAACCAATCACTATTATAATGCTGGAAAGATACAGAGAAATTCATACACACACTAGGAACATAAAAATGAAACAATTGCTTTGGCTGTCATCTATTTCTCATGGCCTGGTAGAATAAACCATCCAGTTTATGCTCTGCCTGTACACATACTCTGTATATTCTAGCCTGGAAAAGACTCAACTTCTTACCGGCCTTTGTCTTTCTTCTGTTTGATGCTCAGACTGTAGTTTCGAGAGTTTCACAATTTTCAAAGCCTAATGATCAAAATTAAGTGAAGAAAGAAAGCATAGTTACGATGACAGATTCATCAGGGTCCTGAGAGCAATCCCTGCCTTCCAAGAGATTAGAAAGACATGAAATATGGTTGAATCTTTACACTTTCTGTATAAGCAACCCCAGGACCATGTGCAGTGATACAGGTGACCCCTCACACTCAGGGCACGTGGCAGGATGGCTGCCATCTTGTCCACTGTAGAATCAGAGGCTGGCGAAGGGGTAACTAACCTGCCCATGGCAATGACTATGGGCTTCTTGAGCCTCATGTGCTCACCCTCAGGCGAGGCCAAATGGACCTCTACACGCTTGCCAGGTAATGCTGCACACAGAACAAGACAGAAACCATCTAAAAGAAGACTTTCTCCTCCTCCTCTATGTGGAAAGCTGTCTGTGACCATGAGGACTCTCTTCCGGGAATCTCCCCAGATTTGCTCCCAAATTGCTGGGACCATACCCACATGACCGAACTCCAGGTACTTTTCTTTGGGTGACTGGTTAGCCTCACACACCGCAGGAGAAATAAAATCTGGTGGTCTCTGCGGCTGTTTTGGGAATCTGTCACATGACCTTTCACATCGTGGCTTCTCTAGTGTTATACACACGTGCAGATAAAAAAGGCAGGCTGGTATTTCGACAACTGTACACTACAGCAGGGGGTCATCACGGTAAGAATGAGTAGGGAAGAGACTCCCCCTGTCCTAAGAACTGTACACCAACCAGGGGATTGTATCTTGGGGAAATGTGTGAGAGACAGGGGGTCAGCCCAAACCACAGGCCAAGAAGGGAGGAGAGGCTTGACCATCAGCCCCCTCTGACTATGAATAACCAGGTACAGGAGAAGACATTTTCTAAAGAACCCCAAGGTGAGACAAGCTTTGGGTGATGCTAAAATGCAGACTATATATATATATACACACACACACACACACACACACATAAACATAAACATATATATATAAAACATATACATATAAAAACATATATAAACATATATAAAACATATACATATAAAAACATATATAAACATATGTTTATATATAAACACACACATAAAACTATACATAAATAAATAAATAAACAAACAAATATATATATATATATATATATATATATATATATATATAAAACAACATTTTGGTGAATCAGGGGCCTCGATCCATTTTATTAGACAGGCCTACTGATGAATAGCCTCTGGCAGGGCACTTTAACACTTCTAGTGAGATACAAGAAAACCTGAAGTCATTAAAAAATATCTCTATTACAGATGGCCTTACAGAGAGGACAAGGGCCTAGTAGGCTACAATCAATCTTGTACTCCACGTGGAACCAACTTCTGTCCTCCTTGATCCTCTTCTGGTTCCCTCTCTAATTTTCATTATGATATTCCTGTTTGGGGGTGCATCCTCAACACCCTCGTCAGAATCATATCCTGTCACCTGAAAGCCAGCAGACGTCAGATGGTTCCTCAGACGGAGCCTGATGGGACGTTCCCCCCATGACCCTTACATCACCGCATGCAGTGGAGCCCTGACTGCTGGCCCACATCACTCATTGTCAGCAGGAAGCAGTCACTGCTCAGACCAATACCCTCTGTCCTAACAGCAGTGAGGGGCTCGATCCGTAGAAGAGGTAGTGAGTCCCAGGGCAAGTTACAGTTAAGTAGGCAGCTTCAGGGACAGTGCAGGCAGGGCCTTCAGGAGAGCTGAAGAGGCACCTGAGACAAGGACAATAAATTCTAAGTGCTAACCCACACATACTCCAGAGGGGAGGTCAGAAAGGCCAGGAGGACTAGTACACTGGACAGTGCCTGTAGCTTCTCCTCCACACACTGGGACCCAAAAAAAGACTGTCTTCGAGGGCTGCACCCAGAGATGTGAGCACAAGAGATATCATGGAATAACATTAAAAAGGGGGAGAGGAAGTGGAAAATGTCTGGCTGCCTTTGGAGGAGCTGCAGTTGGGACAGGGCCTACAGACTGAGAATTTCAGGGACCAACGGATAAGTGCCCTCCAGGCCACAGGTGCCCTGACTCACGCATCCCCAGCTGCTGTGTCCCTTGCTTTACTCAATAAATACTCTGTACCCTAGTTGCTGGGACTCGGATTTTGGAGAGAGATCTCCTCCTGGCTGCGGATCGAAAGCCACCAGCGTAACTAAAAAGCTTGCCTCCTCCTGTCCGAGTGCTCCTGCTCCCTCATGACAATCTGCCAGAATAGGCTCCCGTAAAGAAACAGGAAACTCTGACACGTGTTACAACATGGATGATCCGGGGAGACACTTCGTTCGGTCAGACACAAAAGGACAGTATTCTCATGCCCTGGGAGAATTGAAAAACAGCACGTGGGATGGGGGACCAGGAGACAGAAGGGACCCAGGGACACTGTTTACTGGGGAGAGTTCCAGGGTGGGAGGAGGAACCCGTTGTGCAGATGGAGAGTGGAGATGGGGGCGCCACAGGGTGACGCTGATGCCAGGAAGTAGAATGCATACGAAGGGGAGCATGGGGAATGTCGATACTTGTTGATTTGAACACTCTCCCCCACGCCCCCATCACATACACGCAGAAAAGTCTGTTCAGCTTCAAAAACATTCTTCACATGCGTCCCTGGAGGTAGAGGATATCAGAAGCTTACTGCGGCCTAATCAACTAAGTGGCTGCCATAGTTCTCTTTATTGTCATCATCTTCATATGGTGGTGCCCCCGTCTCCACACTCCACAAACACCCAGAGTTCATCCTTTTCAACTGAAACCCAACCCACCAAACACCATCACCTTTGTTCCTCTCCCACCTGCTCCCCACCAGGCACAGGGGTATGAAAATCTCCATTCCTGAGGAGTGTGTGAAGGCAAGGCTTTTGTTGAAAATCACCAAGCAAGGCCGGTAGGTGACACCCAGAACCTCAGAGTGGAGGTGGGGTCGCAGAATCTCATCATATTTACCAGCAAAAAACATCCACCCAGCCAGAGTCCAAGTATCAACCGTCAGCTCACGACCAGTAGAAACCAAACTAACCACCTGGTGGGACACCCTTATCTTTGGCAGATACAGAAATGCAGTTTCGATGGCTACTTATCAGTTCTCACAGTGTGGCGGTGAATGAGATTTTGTGGTGAAGGTCACTGATCAGGACGAACTGGAACATTTGTGGAGGAGACAACAGCTCCAACTATGGCACTGACGTGGTTTCCCTTCATGTCTGTAACAATGGAGGTTCTCCCCGCTACCCAAGACCCTAACATGAGGGACGTGTGATGGTCCTTGTGTGTGAACTTTAACAGTCACACGCAAGGGATTAGTGCAGAGGTTGGACGACACCCCTGAGAGAGGCAGGAGGACTATATAGTCTGGAGCACTAACTGCCAACTGCGGGATGACTTCAGTCTTAACTAAAAGTGGTTTCTCTTCCCAGGAGAGGGGCAGCCACAGGAACTCTCAAAGACCCCCAGTGCGCATGAGCAGCAGCAGCTCTGTCCTCATCGCCTGCTTCGTGAGCAGGAGGGACATGAACTCATGTGGAGGGACCCCGTTCTCACTACTCGCAAAGATGGTTTGTGGAACATGGCAGGTAGTGTGGGGGCAAATGCAAACCCTCTACGGTGGTGAATGCGTCAAAGTGATATGTTTGAGGTCTTCAAGTCATGAACTTATTGAACGTTCCAGTTCTTTAATCTGAGGTACTTGCAACGGGAAACACAGTCTAGGATGTTCTATGCAAGAAAGATCAAAATTCTGTCTCTATGGGCTGAGGTGCAGGGCATCCTAACCAATCACTATTATAATGCTGGAAAGAGACAGAGAAATTCATACACACTAGGGACATAAAAGTGAAGCAATTGCTTTGGCTGTCATCTATTTGTCATGGGCTGGTGAGAATAAACCATCGATTTTATGCTCTGTCCGACCATGCCCCCGTGTATATTCTAGCATGGAAAAGTCTCAACTTCTTACCAGCCTTCTTATTCTTTCCTCTCCTTCCTGATCAAAATTGGGTGAAGAAAGAACGTGTAGTTACAATGACAGATACATCAGGCTCCTGAGAGGAATCCCTGCCTTCCAAAAGACTAGAATGACATGAAATATGGTTGAATCTTTACACTTTCTGTATAAGCACCCGCAGGACCATGTGCAGTGAAACTCGTGACCCCTCACACTCAGGGCACGTGGCAGGATGGCTGCCATCTTGTCCACTGTAGAATCAGAGGCTGGCGAAGGGGTAACTAACCAGCCCATGGCAATGACTATGGGCTTCTTGAGCCTCATGTGCTCACCCTCAGGCGAGGCTATATGAAAAAATGTTCAACATCACTTGTAATCAGGGAAATGCAAATCAAAACTACCATGAGATACCATCTTACACCAGTGAGAATGGCACATATTAAAAAAACTAGCAACAAGAAATGTCGGCGAGGATGTGGAGAAAAAGGAACTCTTCTGCACTGTTGGTGGGAGTGCAAACTGGTCCAACCACTATGGAGAGCTGTGTGGAGATTTCTGGACCTACTAAACATAGAGCTTCCATATGATCCAGCAATTCCACTCCTAGGTATTTACCCAAAGGACACAGAAACATCAATTCCAAAGAACACCTGCACCCCTATGTTTATAGCAGCACTGTTTACAATAGCTAAGCTTTGGAAACAACCCAAATGCCCAAAAATAGATGACTGGATCAAGAAGATGTGGTACATATACACCATGGAATATTACTCAGCATTCAAAAAAAGATAAACACATGCCATTTGCAGCAACATGGATGGAGCCGGAAGGGATCATGCTCAGCGAAATAAGCCAGAAAGAAAAAGAAAAATACTGGATGGTCTCACTCATAGCAGGAATCTAGAACACTTAAATAAGGGACCAGGAAAATGAATAACTATAAGAAAGTGAAAATCAAAATCAACATAAAACTATGAACCAGAGACACTCTATGGGGGGTAGGGGACGGGGAGGGGAGGGATTGGGGTCAAAATAAGGG